GGTGCATATACATTTAAGATAATTAGCTCTTCTTATTGCATTGATCCCTTTACCATTATGTAATGCCTTTCTTTGTCTTTTTCTTTAATCTTTGTTGGTTGAAAGTCTGTTTTATCAGAGACTAAGATTGCAACCCCTGCTTTTTTTTGCTTTCTAATTGTTCAGTAAATCTTCTTCCATCCCTTTAATTTGACCCTAGGTGTGTCTTTGCATGTGAGATGTGTCTCCTGAATGCAGAACACTGATGGATCTTGACTCTTTATCCAATTTGCCAGTCTCTGTCTTTTAACTTTGACATTTAGTCCATTTACATTTAAGGTGAATATTGTTATATGTGAATTTGATCCTTTCATTATGATGCTAGCTGGTTATTTTTCCCATTAGTTGATGCAGTTCCTTTATAGTGTCAATGGCCTTTACAATTTGGTATGTTTTTGCAGTGGCTGGTACCAGTTGTTCCTTTCCATATATAGTGCTACCTTCAGGGGCTCTTGTAAGGCAAGATGGTGGTGACAAAATCTCTCAGCATTTGCTTGTCTGTAAGGGATTTTATTTTATTTTTTCACTTTGAAGCTTAGCTTGGCTGGATATAAAATTCTGGGTTGAAAATTCTTTTCTTTAAGAATGTTGAATATTGGCCTCCACTCTCTTCTGGCCTGTAGGGTTTCTGCAGAGAGATCCACTGTTAGTCTAATGGGCTTCCATTTGTGGGTAACCCGACCTTTCTCTCTGGCTGCCCTTAACATTTTTTCCTTCATTTCAACCTTGGTGAATCTGACAGTTATGTGTCTTGGGGTTACTCTTCTCGAGAAGTATCTTTGTGATGTTCTTTGTTTTTTCTGAATTTAAATGTTGGTCTATTTTGCTAGATTAGGGAAATTCTCCTAGATAACATCCTGAAGAGTGTGTGCTAACTTGGTTCCCTTTTCTCCACCAATTTTAGGTACACCAATCAAATGTAGGTTTGGTCTTTTCAAATAGTCCCATATTTCTTGGAGGCTTTGTGCATTCCTTTTCATTTTTTTCTCCAATCTTGTGTTCAGGCTTTATTTCATTAAGTTGATCTTTAATCTCTGATATCCTTTCTTTCACTTGATCGATTCAGCGATTGATACTTATGTATGTTTCATGAAGTTCTTGTGCTTTGTTTTTCAGCTCTATCAGGTCATTTATCTTCTCTCTAAACTGGTTATTCAAGTTAGCCATTCATCTAACCTTTTTTCAAGGTTCTTAGCTGCCTTGCATTGGGTTAGAACATGCTCGTTTCTATCAGAGGAGTTTGTTATTACCCACCTTCTGAAGCTTACTTCTGTCAGTTCATCAAACTCATTCTCTGTCCAGTTTTGTTCCCTGCTGGCAAGGAGTCATGATTCTTTGGAGGAGAAGAGGTGTTCTGTTTTTTTGAATTTTCACCCTTTTTGCACTGGTTTTTCCTCATCTGCATTGATTTATCTACCTTTGGTCTTTGATGTTGGTGACCTTCGGATGGCGTTTTTGTGTGGACATCCTTTTTGTTGGTGTTGATGCTATTGCTTTCTGTTTGTTAGTTTTCCTTCTAACAGTCAAGCCCCTCTGCTGCAGGTCTGCTGGGGTTTGCTGGAGGTTGACTCCAGACCGTGTTTGCCTGGGTACCACCAGCGGAAGCTGCAGAGCAGCAAACATTGCTATCTGTTCCTTCCTCTGGAAGTTTGTCTCATATGGGCACCCACCAGATGCCAGCCAGAGATCTCCTTTCTGAGGTGTCTGTTAACCCCTGCTTGGAGGTGCCTCCCATCAGGAGCCATGGGGCTCAGGGATCCACCTGAGGAGGCAGTGTGTCTTTTAGTAGAGCTCAAGCACTGTGCTGGTAGATCTGCTGCTCCCTTCAGAGCCAGAATGCCAGAACATTTAAGTCTGCTGAAGCTGCACCCACAGCTGCCCCTTCCCCCAGGTGCTCTGCCCCAGTGGGATGGTAGTTTTACCTATAAGCCCCTGACTGGGGATGCTACGTTGTTTTTCAGAGATGCCCTGCCCAGAGAGGAGGAATCTAGAGGGGCAGTCTGGCTACAGCTGCTTTGCTGAGGTGCAGTGGGCTCTGGCCAGTCCGAACCTCCCAACCATTTTGTTTATACTGTGAGGGGAAAATTACCTACTCAAGCCTCAGTAATGGTGGATGCCCCTTCCCCTACCAAACTCGTGCATCCCAGGTAAACTTCAGACTGCTGTACTGGCAGCGAGAATTTCAAGCCAGTGGAACTTAGCTTGCTGGGCTCCATGGGGATGGGATCTGCTGAGCAAGACCACTTGGCTCTTTGGCTTCAGCCCCCTTTCTAGGTGAGTGAAAAGTTCTGTCTCACTGGTGTTCCAGGTGCCACTGGGGTATGAAAAAGTCTCCTGCAGCTAGCTCAGTGTCTGTGCAAATTGGTTCCTCATTTTTGTGCTTGAAACCCAGTGCCCTTGTTGTGTAGGCACCTGAGGGAATCTCCTGGTCTGCAGGTTGCGAAGACCATGGGAAAAGCCTAGTATCTGGGCCAGAGTGCACTATGCTTCATGGCACAGTCCCTCACTGCTTCCCTTGGCTAAGGTAGGGAGTTCCCTGACCCTTTGGGGTTCCTGGGTGAGGTGACATTCAACCCTGCTTTGGCTTGCCCTCTGTGGGCTGCACCTATTGCCTAAACAGTTTCAATGAGAGGAGCTGGGTACCTCAGTTGGAAATGCAGAAATAACTTACCTACTTTGTTGATCTTGCTGGGAGCTGCAGATGGAAACTGTTCCAATTCGACCATCTTGCCAGCCACCCCCCTTATTTAGTTTCTTCAAGGTAATTATTTTGAATTCCTTTTTTGAATATATGTTGATTTTGTTTTCATCGAGTTCTGTTATTTGAGAGTTATTATGTCTTTTTGGTGGTGTAATATTTCTTGATTTTTCATGTTTTGTCCCTGCATTGATGTCTATGCATGTGGTGGGACAATCTCTATTCCAGTTTCTAGAGTGGATTTCATAGAGAAAGACTTTCATCTGAAGTTGAGTGTTTGTGTGCAGGTGATGAAGAGTGGGTAACTCAGTTTTTGAATAGATGCAGTGTGATAGTATCTGTGTAGTTTCTCTAGCTGTGGTCAACATCAGAAATAATTTTGGGTGCCTCAGTGGCCTAGGCTGTAGAAGTTTGCAGCAGTATCAGGAGTAGTGTAGGTTGTTAATGTCCCTGGTGTCAAAGTATTTGGGTGTCCTCCCATTTTTATTTTCCTAAAATTAGGGTGACTTAGCCTAAGGGATTCCTTTTGATGTCAAATCTGACATGGCATACATGCAGCTGCATTGGTGCTGGGTTACAGGTATACATCCTTGAAGTTGTCATAGAAACATTATTCTAGACTCAAGGTATTTTAATCAGGTACTGTGACACCTGGGTCTTGGGGTACAGGTTCACTCTCTGTGGCAGAATTGAATGTAGATTGCCCACAGAGCCAAGATCTGTGACTCTATAGCACACCCTAGTAGCTGAAGCCCACAGACTGAGTTGTAGCTGTGAGTCTGTTTCTGAGGGCGAGGTGCAGGACAATGTCCTGGCCTGTGTCTGAGGTAGAGGGGTGCTCTTTAGATATGAGCACAGCAAGTAGAATATGGCTACTATCATTAATAAGGTAGGATAGGCACATAACTGCTAAATAACCAAGCTCAAGTCAACAGATGGAAATGTTAATACTGGTTTGTGAGTGCACTGTTCTTACTTAAGAGTAATTTTTAACATGACAAGCTTAGAAAACTGTGTGAAGCTGATGTTACCAAGGGATAGGACCATCTTCATCTAGTAAGTAGACATGTTGAGAGGATCTAGTCTATTTCAGTGGTGTTGATTAAACAATATTCAACATGACACACATCACTTGGAGACTCTGAAAACGTAATTAATTTATTACTGGCCTAGAGACTGGTTAAAAAGTAATATGTTTTGTATATTGATGATCTCTTTCAACTAAGTATTCATTATTTGTTGCTTTCTTTCTCCTAACTTCCAAATTATGAAAACTCCAGTCTTTGAGCCTTGGCATATGCATTACCCTTACTCTCTCCTTTATCCCCTGTGACAATTAATCCCTTTATTCTCCATATTCATCATTGTCCTTTCTCTTCATTTTGCATATTTTTATTTATTCCTGCACTGCTGCACCCTAGAAAAAGTTGTCTGTTGCCTCCCATCTCTATTATAATAGTGTGGGCCCATCTTGTTATTGTAAACCCATTCTCTTTCTCTATAATTTATCCTAGGTTTTGCTGTCATATTGCTTTTTTCATATTTATTTTCACAAAATTTCAACTTTATAATGAATCTGGAGGCAATGTTGAGTCCATGTACCTTTCTGACAGAAGAAGATAATTGCAGACTCTTGATTCAGGCTCACAGTATCTAATGATATGGCCCTAATTTACCTTTTTACTAATTTAGATTGTAGTTGTCTACAGGTAATAATGGCTTTAACACATAATGTCTTTATTTATCTCAAATACAGGGAATCTCACAGAGGGGCAATCTAGGGATAATACAGCAGCCCCAAAGCAGCAGAGAGTCAAGGGCCTTCCTTTTTTCCCACTAAATTTAGTATACAGACCTTCATTTTCATTATTAAATCCCAGGATGGGGTCTATTCTACCTCCTACTTCACATTTGTGTTTTGAGTATGAAAGAGGAAATGAAAGTGGACCTAGAGACCTTCTGCTTATATCTTTTGGCAAAAAAAAAAAAAAAAAAAAAAAAAAAAAAATGCTGTGTGACTCAGCCAGCTGCAGAGAGCCTGATGAATGGAATTTTTAGGCAAGCATGGAATAAGGGGGTAGCAAATAAAGTTTGGGCCAGATGGCCTACAGCCTCCGCTACACCACACAGTATTTTTTTTCTAGTACTATACTTTCCAGTTTCTATGTTGGTAACCATATAACAATGTGAGTAATTTTGAATTCACTGTAATCAAATATGCTGGTAAATAATTTGTCAGATAATTGCATCAAATCATTCTTAGGAAAAGCACAACCAACAGTCTGAATTTACTATTGAAAACTTGGAAAACACTGCAGTTGACTTGTTTGGAGCTGGGACAGAGACGACAAGCACAACCCTGAGATATGCTCTCCTTCTCCTGCTGAAGCACCCAGAGGTCACAGGTATGATCACAGATGAAGAGTTAATTGACTTTCAGAGAAGATGTTGGGAAGGTGTTGCTAGTGTCCTCCTTCCTGTTTCTCTTAGAGAAGCTTCATTACTTAAACTCTGCTCCCAGCTGTAATCTGTTCCAAACTAATGGTGTGATTAAAATGGGATATCTTGGCCTGGCATGGTGGCTCACACCTGTAATCCCAGCACTTTGGGAGGCTGAGGTGGGTGGATCACTTGAGGCCAGGAGTTCAAGACCAGCCTGGCCAACATAGCCAAATCCCGTCTCTAGTAAAAATGTAAAACCTAGCCAGGCATGGTGGCACGTGGCTGTAATCCCAGCTCCTCGGGAGGCTGAGGCACCTGAATCACTTGAACGCAGGTGGTGGAGGTTGTAGTGAGCCAAGATTGTGCCACTGCCCTCCAGCCTGGGCAACAGAGTGAGACTCTGTCTCAGAAGGAAAAAAAAAACAAGGAAAAAAAGGTAAAGGGGGCATGTTTACACAGTAGAGGAAGATAACTGAGACAAATGAAGACAGACAGCAGTAGCAAAAGCAATAGAGCTCTGGTCCAAGGTGGGTAGGGCATCTCTGAAAAAAAAAGGTAATGATTTATGTCAGGAAGAGACAAGATAAATTGGCCTAGTATTACATGTTGGGTTTATTATGAGAAGCCCATTTTTAAATAGCAAGTATGTTTTTGAAGATAACTTTTCTCATTCTCAAAATTTCAGGTTCGAATGCTGGAGTAGGGAAACTGGAAACTCCACTTATTGAAAGATAAATGGTAATCCTAGAAATGTAGTGAGTCTGCCTGAGAAAATTCCTAGTCTGCTAAGTATTCTAAAAAGTTGGATTCATAAGGAAGGTAATTCTGTTTACTAGAAGAGGTACCTAAAGAATGTTCCATTTAGGCAGAATATGTACCTGAGACAGTTCCCATGAAATTGGTGTTGGACAAAATAAGATTTTGTTTTGAGGGGGTCAATAATTTTATCTTTTATGTACAACTTTACTTTAGAAATTTACTTTTAAGGCCTTCTGCTTATGCTGCAGATAAGAAATATTCTTTTTTTCTCCTCTGTCAGTATCCCCCATTGACATGACAATAACCTAATTACAAATAAGAATTAGGCCTTTTTTTTGAACAGTTACTAACCTATAGAGTTCTACAAGATTTTTTGTCAACTTTCATTATAGATTAAAGGGTTCAAATACAGGTTTGTTACATAGATAAGTTGTGTAACGCTGAGGCTTGGGGTCCCAGCTATTCCATCACACTGACAGTAAACATATTACCCAGCAGATGGTTCTTCAGCCCACATCCCTTTCCTCCCTCCCCCATCTAGTGATCCTCAGTGTCTATTGTTCCCATCTTTAAGTTCTTGTGTATTCAATGCTTACCTCCCACTTATAAGTGAGAACATGCGGTATTTGGTTTTCTGTTCTTGTATTAGATTGCTTAGGATAATGACCTCCCACTTCATCTATCGTCCTGCAAAATACATAATTTTTGTTCTTTCTTGTGGCTGCATAACATTCCATGGTGTATGTATTAATCTGTTCTCATGCTGTTAATAAAGACATACCTGAGACAGGGTAATTCATAAAGGAAAGAGGTTTAATGGACTCTCAATTCCACATGACTGGAAAGGCCTCACAAAAAGTCTCTGGTAGAGACTTATTCACTATCATGAGAACAGCATGGAAAACTCCTGCCTCCGTGATTAAATTACCTCCCATTGAGTTCCTCCCATAACATGTGGGAATTATGGGAGCTACAATTCAAGATGAGATTTGAGTGGGGACACAGCCTAACCATATCAGTGTATATTTACCACATTTTTCTCATACAATCCACTGTGGATGGGCACATAAGTTGATTCCATTTCTTTGCTATTGTGCATAGCACTACAGTGAACATATTGGGGTGTGTGTCTTTTTGATAGAATGAATATTTTTGGGACATATACTCCATAGTGGGATTGCTGGGTCAACTCGTAGTTCTATTTTAAGTTCCTTCAAAAATATCAAAACTGGTTTCCACAGTGGCTGACCTAGTTTGCATACCTACCAACAGTGTAAAAGCATTTCCATTTCTCTGCAACATCACCAGCATCTGTTGTTTTTGGACTTTTTAATATTAATAATTGCTATTCTGACTGGTGTGAGATGGTACCTCATTGTGATTTTGATTTGCATTTCTCTGTTGATTAGTGATGTTGAAGCACTTTTTCATGTTTGTTGGCTGTTTGTATGTCATCTTTTGAGAAGTACCTGTTCTTGTCCTTTGCCCATTTTTAATTGATTTTTTTTGGTTTTTTGCTTGTTGATTTAAGTTATTTTATTTTATTTTATTTTTATTTTTTTATAGATTTTGGATATTAGACATTTAGGTCCTTTAAGATAGGAAGAGTACAGGAGATAGTCAAGAAGACTTTAACAAATTTCCTAAACACAGAGAGCATATAGAGGATTGACAAATCTGTACAGAGAGGATAAACTTGTAATCAAAAAGTCAGAAGAGAAAAATTTATCAAGGAGGAAAAGTTAATCAGTGTCCCTTAAGTCTCTCCAATAGTAGTATTCGGAAGTTTCAAGGGTTAAAGAATAGTGGAGAATGAGGCTGAAAAAGGAGGCTTTCCCTGCCTACGTTTCCTCCACAAGCCTTTTCATCAGGTAACTGATTTCTTCCCACAAGAAGAAGGAGGCTCGCTCCTTAGAGAAACTGAGCTTAAGAAGCCCTGTACTCAGAGACACAGGGTAGTGCCAGAAAAGGCATGAGGTGTAGGCTTGAAAGGCAGATTTGGTACGGGTCTGCTCCTTCAATTAGGAGACTCTTAGCTCTTTTATTCATCTTGCTTCCTAAAATTCAGCAGCTAACTTTATCCAACACAAAGGGAACTGATCTAGAGAAATGACATTTTTCTTTCACCATCTTAATGGAAAATTCTCTTCAATGTCCAACAGAGTGAATGAAATGAAAACACATACTGCTAGACACAGGGTTATAGAATGTCAGGACATGAGAATTAAAGGGAAAACCACAAAAACTTTCAGATCTATACCAGGTTATATTGAAACAATTAAGATTCAGAATTCTCAAGAACTATTAATATTATCTTGTATATTAATAGAAATAGGGTGTTTTCATACTTGCATGTTTGCCAAAAATTTTGCCTTCTATTTTCCCTTTCTCAGAAAAATATTGGAGAATATGCTTCATTCAAATGCCTGAAACCTAGTTAGAGAAAGTCCTGAGCTCCAGCAATCAGGAAACCTCATGTAGGAGAATGAGAATGTCAGGGAGGCTGCCTAGCACCATACCTAGAAAACAACTACTTAAGAATGGACCTGGTGGATAATTCAGAAGTGAGAGGAGACAGCAAGAACAAAAGAGATGTGACAGATTTTATGAGAGTTTCCAATAGCTCAAAAAGGAGTTTCAAACATCTGCCTGAACATTTGTCAATAATTCTAACTTGGGAAACAGAAATTACAAATTGAAATAAGGAGACATGGTTAAGCCCAGGATAGTACTAAAAATACAATTTAATCATAGCTGTCTTACCAGAGAACCATATTTGTGTAGTCAGAATGATGTAAGCAATGAATACTGATATAAAAATTGTCATCTAAATATATTCTGGAAAAAGGAGTGTTGTAAAGTGAGTGTGTCTATCTGAGGGTGTGTTCAAATATGAGGTGAAGTTGAAGATTAAAATTCTCATCTCTCATAATAAAAAATTATTAATATAATCCACAAAAAGATAAGTAAGAAATAGAAACAGAGTCTTTATTTAAAAATGTGAATGTATGTTCAGAAGAAGCTGCTGGAATGTTGAAAATGGTGAATTTGGAAAGTGTGAGAATGAAGAGAATACCATTGCAATTTGCGACCCCTCCCACACACAGATGCATAAATACAGTCACATATATGCATAAATCTGATAGTATAATTTAATGTTTAAGCAACATGTTATTTTGATATGAAATTAATCCTTGTTTTTTTCCAAGACAGTAATTTCATGACTAAATTATATGCTTACTTTATGTTTGCAAACATTTTATTATTTTTATTTATATTAATTATCATATATACTAATGTATATGTATATATAGATTTTTCATTTTTATCTTTTTAAATTTTTATGGGTACATAGTAGTATATATTAATATGTTTGGGGGTACATGAGATGTTTTGATACAGGCGTGCAATGTGAAATAAGCATGTCATGGAGAATGGTGTATCCCCTCAAGCATTTATTCTTTGAGTTACAAACAATTCAATTACATTCTTTAAGTTATTTTAAAATGTACAATTAAGTTATTATTGACTATAGTCACCCTGTTGTGCTACCATATAGTAAGTCTTATTCATCCCCACCTCCCCTCCCAGGCCCCACTACCCTTTCGAGTCTCTGGTAACCATGCTTCTATACTTTATGTCCATTGGTTCAATTCTTTTGTTTTTAGATCCCACAGATAAGTGAGAACATGCTATGTTTATCTTTCTCTGCCTGCCTTATTTCACTTAACATAATGATCTCCAGTTCCCTTCATGTTGAAAATGAGTGAATCTCATTCTTTTTATGACTGAATAGAACTACATTGTGTATATATACTACATTTTCTGTTGATGCATATTAAAGTTGTTTCAAAGTCTTAGCTATTGTGTACGGTGCTGCAACAAACATAAGAGTGCAGATACTTCTTCGATGTACTTATGTCCTTTCTTTTGGGTATATACCCAGCAGTAGGGTTGTTGGATCATATGGTTGCTTTATTTTTAGTTATTTGAGGAATATTCAAACAGCTCTCCGTACTGGTCATACTAATTTACATTCCCACCAACACTATACAAGGGTCCACTTATCTCCACATCCTCACTAGCATTTCTTATTGCCTGTCTTTGGATATCAGCCATTTTAACTGGAGTGAGATGACATCTCATTGTAGTTTTGATTTATATTTCTCTGATGATCAGTGGTGTTGACCACCTTTTTGACCACCTCTTACCCATTTAAATGTCTTCTTTTGAGAAACATCTATTCAAATCTTTTGCCCACTTTTGGATTGGATTAGTATATTTTTTTTCTATAGAGTTGCTGGAGTTTCTTATATAGTCTGGTTATTAATCTCTTGTCAGATGAATAGTTTGCAAATATTTTTCTCCATTCTGTAATTGTCTCTTCCCTTTGTTGATTGTATCTTTGGCTGTGCAGAAGCTTTTTAACTTGATGTGATCCCATTTGTTCATGTTTGCTTTGAATGCCTGTGTTTGTAGGGTATTGCTCAAGAAATTTTTGCCTAGACCAATGTCCTGGAGATTTTTCCTAGTGTTTTCCTATATTAGTTTCAGAGTTTGAGGTCTTAGAGTTAAGCCTTTAATTGATTTTGAGTTGATTTTTGTATATGGCAAGAGATATGAGTTCAGTTTCATTCTTCTTTGTAGGATATTAAGTTTTCCCAGCACATTTATTCAAGAGACTGTCTTTCCCTCAGTGTACGTTCTTGGCACATGTGTTAGTCTGTTCTCATGCTTCTAATAAAGCCAACACAAGACTGGGTAATTTATAAAGGAAAGACGTTTAATGGACTCACAGTTCCACATGGCTGGGGAGGCCTCACAATCATGGCAGAAGGTGAATGAGGAGCAAAGTCACGTCTTACATGGCAGCAGGCAGAGAGCTTTGCAGGGGAACACCCACTTATAAAACCATCAGATGTTGTGAGATTTATTCACTACCATGAGAAAAGTATGGAGGATACCACCCCCATGATTCAATTATCCCCACCTGGCCTCACCCTTGACTTGTGGGGATTATTACAATTCAAGATGAGATTTGGGGTGGAGACACAGCCAAACCGTATCAGCACCTTTGTCAAAAATGAGTTCACTCTACGTCTGTGAAATTGTTTCTGGATTCTGTATTCTGTTCCATTGGTCCATGTGTTTGTTTTTATGTCAGTACCATGCTGTTTTAGTTATCTCTGTAGTATAATTTGAAGTGAGATAATGTGATTCTTCCAGTTTTGTTCTTTTTGCTTAGGATAGTTTTGACTATTCCGGGTCTTTTGTGGGTCCATATAAATTTTAGGATTTATTTTTTCTATTTCTGTGAAGAATGCCATTGATATTTTGATAGGGATTTTATTGAATCTGTAGATTGTTTTGATAGTATGGACATTTTTAACAATATTGATTTTTCCAATCCATGAACATGAAATATTTTTGTATTTGTTGTGTCCTCTTAAATTTCTTTCCTCAGTGTTTTATAGTTTTCATTTTAGGCATCTTTCAGTTTTTTAGTTAAATTAATTCCTAAGTATTTAATTTTACTTATGGCTATTGTAAATGGGATTACTTTTTAAATTTGTTTTTTCTTTTTGTTCACTGTTGGCATGTAACAACACTACTGATTTTTATGTTGATTTTGTATCCTTTAACTTTACTGAATTTGTTCATCAGTTCTAATAATTATCTTGTGGAATCTTTAGGTTTTTCCTAATATAAGGTTATATCATCAGAACACAAGGATATTTTGACTTTTTCCTTTCCAATTTGGATAGCCTTTATATCTTTGTCTTGTCTGATTGGTCTTGCTAGGTCATCCAGTACTATGATGAATAACAATGGTGACAGTGGGCATCCTTGTCATGTTCCTGATCTTAGAGGAAATACTCTTGGTTTTCCCCATTCAGTATAGTACTAGTTGTGGCTCTGTCATATAACTTTTTTATGTTGAGGTATGTTCCTTCTATCTCAGGTTTTTTTAAATGAATTTTTATCAGGAAGGGATGTTAAGTTTTATCAAATACTTTTTAAGCATCAACTGAAATGATATAGCTTTTATCCTTCATTCTTTTGATATGATGTATCACACTGCTTGATTTGCACATGTTGAACCATCCTGGCATCCCAGGGATAAATCCCACTTGGTCATTGTGAATGACCTTTTTATTTTATTGCTGAATTTGGTTTGCCAGTATTTTGTTGAAGATATTTGCACTAGTGTTCATCAGGTATATTGACCTGTAGTTTTCTTTTCTTGACGTGTCTTAGTCTGATTTTGGTATCAGGGTAATACTGGTCTCACAGAATGAGTTTCAAAGTATTCTCTTCTCCTTTATTTTTTGGAATAGTTTGAATAGGATTGGTATTAATTCTTCTTTAAATGTTTGGTAAAATTCAGCAGTGAAGCTAGCCAGTCTTGGGGTTTTCTTTACTGGGATACTTTTTATTTCTCATTTGATCTTGGTACTGGTCATTGCATGTTCAGATTTTGGATTTTTTCCTGGTTCAAACTCGATGGGTCATATTTGTCTAGTGATTTGTCCATTTCTTCTAGACTTTCCAATTTATTGGCATATAGTTGCTTATAGTAACCACTAATTATTCTTTGAATTTCTGCAGTATCAATTGTAATGCCTCCTTTTTAATTTGTTTTTATTTATTTGAATCTACTCTGTTTTTTTTTTTAGCCTGGCTAAAGGTTTGTCAATTTTGTTTAACTTCTCAAAAAAGCAACTTTTATTTCATTGATCTTTTGTTTTTCTTCATTTAAATTTTATTTATTTCTGCTCTGATCTTTATTATTCCTTTTCTTCTATTAATTTTGGGTTTAATTTGCTTTTGATTTTCTAATTATTTAGGATGCATCATTAGATTGTTTATTTGTCTATTTTCTCCATTTTTGATATAAGTTCTTGTAGCTATAAACTTCCCTTTTAGTACTGGTTTTGCTGTAGCCCCTTGGTTTTGGTATGTTGTGTTTCCATTAAAATTTGTTTCAAGAAATTTTTCAATTTCCTTTTTAATCTCTTCATGGGCCCACTCCCCATTTATGAGTATATTTTTAAATTTCCATTTATTTGTGTAGCTTCCAAAATTCCTCTTGTTATTGATTGCTGGTTTTATTACACTGTGGTCAGAGAAGATGCTTGATATTATTTCAGTTTCTTTGTATATTTTAAGACTTGTTTTGTGACCTAACATATGGTCAATTGTTGATAACAATCCATGTGCTGTGGAAAAGGATGTGTATTCTGTAGCAGTTGGATAAAATATTCTGCAAATATCTATTAGATCCATTTGGTCTATAGTGCACATAAAGTTGAATGTTTCCTTGTTGATTTTCTATCTAGATGACCTGTCCAATGCTGAAAGTGGGATGTTGAAGTCTCCAGCTATTATTGTACTGGGGACTATCTCTCTCTAGTTCTAATTATATTTCTTTTATATATCTGGGTGCTCCATTGTTGGTTGCATATATATTTAAAATTTTTCCATCTTCTTGCCAATCTGACTACTTTATCACCAATAGTGATCTTCTTTGTCTCTTCTTATAGTTTTTGTTTTGAAATCTACTTTTTCTGTTTTAAATATAATAACTCCTGCTCTTTTTTTCTTTTCTATTGGCATGTACTGTCTCATTCCATTTCTTTATTTTCAACCTATGTGTGTCTTTATAAGTGAAGTGTGTTTCTTTTAGGCAACAGATTAATGGGTCTTGTTTATCCATCCAGTCAGTATGTCTTTTGATTGGAGATTTTAGCCCATTTACATTCAGTGTTATTATTGATAAGTAAGGACTTACCCTTGCCCTTTTGTTATTTGTTTTCTGGTTGTTTTGTGGACTTCTCTTCCTTTTTTCAATCCTTCCTGTCTTCCTTTATTGAAGATAATTTTCTATGCTTATATGTGTACAGATTTTTCTTAATGCCTAGTTTATGGTAATTACACATTTGTGCATCTGTAACAGTCCTCTCTTTACATTTGCATATACTTCCAGCACTATAATTTAAATTTCTAATGATGTTTGGATACCTTCATCATGATTCATGTACCCCTGAATTGCTGCAACAAATGTGCCATTTTTCTCCTTTTCCATCAGTTTTTACTTGTGTCTTATCAGCTAAAGTCCAGGAAGAGATTGAACGTGTGATTGGCAGAAATCGGAGCCCCTGCATGCAGGACAGGAGCCACATGCCCTACACAGATGCTGTGGTGCACGAGATCCAGAGATACATTGACCTTCTCCCCACCAACCTGCCCCATGCAGTGACCTGTGATGTTAAATTCAGAAACTACCTCATCCCCAAGGTAAGTTTGCTTCTCCTACACTGCAACTCCATGTTTTTGAAGCCCCCAAATTCATAGTATCATTCTTATCCTCTACCATCACTGGGTGAGAGAAGTGCGTAACTCATATGTATGGCAGTTTAATGGGACTTTCTGTTGTTTCCAGTTTGGGGCTACAAAGTTTTGTAACAGGTCCTAATGTCTGGCAATGTGTGTTTTCCAGATTTATTATCTTTCTTCAAGATTGGTTTGGCTACTCTCAGGTGCTTATATTTCCAGATAAATTTTAAAGGCATTTGTTTGTCAATTTCCCAAAACATTGGGCTGGAATTTCTGTCAGGGTGACATTAAATTTATAGATCAGTTTGGAAAGAACTGAATCTTGACATGTTGCGTCTTTCCATTCCTGAATATAATTATGCTTCCAATTTATTTGGGATTTCTTTTATTTTCCCAGGAAATTTGTGATTTGTTGTCATGGTTTTCAAGTCTTTGGTTTTCCCTAGATAATTAATATTTTTGTTGTGGAACATAATTAGTTTTTGTCATTCTGATGATGTTAATCTGTCAACTTTGCTAAATTTACTAATCGCTGTTCATAATTTATTTCTGGATTCATTGTAATTTCTGTATAATTATATTGTATCTGGGTTAATACTGTTTTATTACTTATTTTCCATTTCTCATGGGCTTAATGTCTCTTTATTGCATTAATTATTGCATTGGCTAGAATTTCTAGGAGAGTGTTGAATAGAATTGGTGACAGTGGGGATCCTTGTTTCTCATTTCTCATCTGCAGGAAGCAGTGGAAGTTTTCCATTTTAGTATTGAGAATGATGCTTGAAGTAGATTTTGGTAGATATTTTTGATCAGATTAGAGAAGTTTGCTGTCATAGATATATGTCATAATTGTGTGTAAAATCTTATCAAATCAATTCTCTGCATCTATTTCTATAATTGTGTGTTAGTCTGTTTCCATTGCTATAAAGGAATATGTTTGACTGTCTTTGACTGGGTAATTTGTAAATAAAAGAGTTTTATTTTGGCTCATGGTTTTGCAGGCTGTGCAAAAGGCATAATGGGGGCAGGCATCTGCTCCTAGTGAGGACTTCAGGTAGCTTTCAATCATGGAAGAAGGTGAAGGGGAAGCAAGCATGTCACATGGCAAGAGAGGGAGTAAGAGAAAAAGGAGTGGAAGTGACTTTAAACAACCAGCTCGTGTATGAACTAACAGAATATGAACTCACTTATTATCATGAGAAGAGCTTTAAGCCACTCAAGAAGAATTCACCCTCATGTCCTAAATACCTCCCACCAGACTCCACCTCCAACATTGGGAATCACATTTCAACATGAGATTTGGAGGGGACAAATATCCACACAACATCAGATTATATGTATTGGGCTTACATTCCTCAATAAATAGAAATAAGTATGCACATAGAGATGAATTGACCTTCTTCATATTGTTTAGGGCTTCAGTGTTTACATTCACAAGAGATTTGGTTTGTAATTTTTTTTCTTAGAATTTTCAGGATTTTTGATATTAAGATTATGCCAGCCTTATAAAACTAGGCAAGAAAAGTTTCCTAATGCGAGTCTGATTTTATTGCCGTTCCCTCTCCCCACTTTTCTTCTTGTGATCACTTAGTTGATCTTTGTATCTTTGAAATGCCTGATAACTTTTGGTTAAATACCAGATGCTATATATAAGAAACTGCAGAATTTCAGAGGTTTATATTCTTCAAAGAAAGATTCATTCCTCTCCCATAGGCAGTCATAATGACATAACACCTGTTGTCATGATTCAGAATTGGACATAATGTGAACCCAGTCGAAAATTGAGTGTCAGTGTTAGCTTAGCTCTTGAGGTTCTCCTACCTCTGGAACCTTGAGACCAATTTTTGTCTTGGCAGCTTTACAATGCCTTCTATCACATGGTTTCTGTATTTATCCAGACACTCCAGTTGCCATCTCAAACCTACTTTTTCCATTTAAAACCAATACATATGATTAGTAAAATAAAAAATAATATAACTGAAAGTTGTATTTTCAAGAGGAAAAAGGAATGATATCGGTAAGGTTGCAATTACTAATGTCATCTTTTGAAGAAGACAGGATTGATAATTTACTGAGAGATTATGGGGCTTACCCTAGTGGTCACTGATTTAGTACAAGAGATAAGACTTCAATGCACTCTGTTATCACAAACACAGGAGGTAACCAGGAGAAGACTTTTGTTTCTCAAAATTAGGGTCTGAGGGTAATAGTAATGAAACTTACTTCTCCTCCTATAACTAACTAAATGAGAAATATACTGAAGAATCAGCTAGGAGCTGCCAGTCTCCCCAGTTCACTGCATCATCTTTGGTGAACAGCTGGAAGGGAATACTACATCTGATGAACTTCTTCATTCATCCCCCTGCAGGGCAGCTCATGCTGTGCCTGGTGTCTTTTGAGCCCTGAGAAGCCAGAGCCCAAGGGAATCACCCATTGAATCCCTTCTTCATGGAATAGCCCAGTACAGAAAAATGCAGCACTGTGTGGCCAATTCTACCCTCTTTACATATCAGATACATGTGTTTTTCTGCTACAGGCTGGATCCATTTATCTAGCTGGAGATAATAGTCTGAGACAGGAGTTGGCAAACTGTTTCTGTAATGGGCCAGATAGTAAATATTTTAGATTTTCCGGCCATGTGGTTTCTGTTGCAATACTTGACATCTCTTATTGTAGCATGAAAGCAGTCATAAACAATCTGCAAATGAATGAGGATTGATATGTTCCAATTTTTATAGAAACAAATGTAAATTTCCTATAAAATGTGTTTCAAAAATATTATTTCTTATTTGCATTTGTTCAATGTGAATACTTTTAGCTCACATACCATACAAAAACAGGTGGCAGGATGGACTTGTGCAGGGAGTATTTTTTATTGATGCCTAATATAAGACATTCCTGTCCAGTAGAATTTTCTGCAAATATGTGTGATTGATTTGTGTTTTTGTGTCCTATTAAAGAATATTTGTCAGCACAAGATTCCAAAGACTGGCTTTTAACCTTCCTGGAATATTTTTGCTTGAGCTCTTATATTTAGATCAATGACATATTTCAAATGAATTTTTATTTGTAATATGAAGTAATAATGGTCATGCTTCAATGTCTATAAATTTCTAGTTATTCAAGTAACATTTGTTGAAATAAATCTGCTTTGGTTCTTAATAACATTTTAATATAGTACTTGTTTATAAATATTCAAGGGAATATTTTTGAAAAACCAAATCATAGACTATTGATATGAAAATTTAGGGGGTAGAATTTTTCTTCACCTTTTTATTATAAAATATTTTAAAATCAGTAACATTACACACACATATGTATATGTACATATGGCAGTATGTGTATTTATCTACTTTGATATCTGTCCATCCATCTATTTATGCTTCAGTACTTCAGTACGTATAGCACAATAACAATGGTTTTCTCCTACATGACAATAATAGCATTCATAATGTGGAGTTATTAATACAATAATATTATTAACTACACAGCTTATATTTAAAATTTTCCAATTTTTAAAGAATATGTTAATCGCTTTTTTTCTTGCAATTCATTCTCCAGTCAAGAAACAGGCACATAATTTCGGTATCCTGTTATTTTCATCTCCCGTAATCAAGAAGAGTCCATTTCCTCTGTTTCCTTTCGACATGTTGACCTCTGTGAAGAGTTGAGACTGTTAGTCATTTAAATTTTCCTGGGGCTCATTTTGTATGATTCTTTTCTAGATATTATATTCCAGTTATGACTTTGGCAGGAAAACTACATAGTACTTTGAATATCCCACTGAATCACAGTGGTGAGGCAGGGGCACATAATGTCACATATGTCATTATTGGTTATGCTAAGATTCTCACCAAATAAGTTGGAATCTGCCAGATCTCTTCACTGATGGGGTTCTGATTTTCATGTGTGAATGATGAAAATCTATGGCATGGTACTTTAAAACTGAACACCCTGCTTCCCAAGTCACACATCCAATAGTTTTATCTTTCATTAATGATCCTCACCTGACCTGATGATTTTGACCTGAATGGTTACAAATAGGTGATTTTTCTAATTTCATTGTTCCTTCTGTATTTTTAAGCTAGGATTAATCTGTAATGAATATCTCTCCCATATCTTTAAATGAAGACAAACAAACTGCATGGCAATGACAAGAACTCAATAGTTTTATACTTGTGACTATACTAGTTATCATCCCAGAAGACGTCATTTGAAACTCAATCATGTGTTTATTCACAAATGCCCTGTGAACAGATACTGTGGCCATTTCCCATGTCAAAAGAGACTTCAACTTTAAGTCATACTCTACACATAAGGTTGGTGAAAACCAAAGTGATGGAATAGAGCAGCAAGTGTGGACAGCCACTAGTGTCCAAGCTTGATGAAAAGGAGGACAGATTCAGAAGGTTGCACCCAAGTATCCAAGTACCGAGGACTTCAAATGTGATTGCAGGGCACTTTAGCAAGATTATTGTCACTGGTCTTAAGCTAATGCCTCTTATTACTTGGTCTATCCATCTGGAAATGGTACTGCTCTTCTTTGGAATGGTGTTTCCTCATCTGCACATCAAAAGATTCAACTATGTGATTACCACTGTTTCTTCAACCTTCATGACTTCTTTACAGCTCAGTTCATCTATGTCTCTTGTTTATAGGGCACAACCATATTAATTTCCCTGACTTCTGTGCTACATGACAACAAAGAATTTCCCAACCCAGAGATGTTTGACCCTCGTCACTTTCTGGATGAAGGTGGCAATTTTAAGAAAAGTAACTACTTCATGCCTTTCTCAGCAGGTAATATAAATGTATTTCCATTTGTGTCTCAGGGTATAAGATAACTTTTTTGATCAGTTGGAACTTACATGTGCCTCCTCTGCAGTGGTACAATTACTCTTTGTACACGATCAAGAGCACTGTTCTGAATGTCTGTGTGCTCCCTGCTCATGATATATCCTAATTATTGAGCCAGATTAGTGGGCTTTGGGGAGTTAATCCAATTCTTCCAAATTGAGAAAGTTGAAGTATAGGTTGGTTGAATTCTGCCTCTAGATACACCACTGAGGTACCCAAGAACTCCTCCTAGAAGATAAAACTAATTACATTTTCCTCACTAGCCATGAGGAAGTTATCTCACTCCAAAACTTCACTGAGTGTTTTCCACATGGTGTCCCTCACCCCCTAGGCTGGGCCTGTAGGATAAAATTATCCTCAAACACTGAAGAGGGTCTTAAAAGGCTCGCTTCTGAGTTTTGAAAGCAGAGTAAACAGATCATTGTAGTTCAATAGGACTGAGGCTGTGATATAGGAAAGAACAGGCTGTTGGAGTTTGAGAGGTAGATGGAAAAGCTGTCTGCTTCTTGTTCTCTTATACCCCAAAGTGAGGCATAAGTAACATTTTAATAGCAGTAAAGACATTTGAGCTATCTCAAAGGAGGCAGAGAGGATGAAAGGAAGAGAATGCAGGGCTGTTAAAGGAGATAATGAGCCACAGAAGCAGGACATTAGCTCTAAATAATGGATATTAGAACCTTTGCCAAATAACTGTCAATGGGAGGAGAGGGACATTGGGAATGTAGCAGGATACTCTGCAGTGATGCAGAGCACCACGCTCTTCCCCTAGTCATGGCCATGTATCTTGGATGTTGGATCTCCACACCTGAAATGTGTGTGCTGAGCGTCTGGTGGTAGAATCTCCTTTCTTCATTCTGTGGCCTTTGATATCTGCTTTATATCTGGCACTGTAGATACCAAGACAACAAGAAAAGAAACCTTCCTTCAAGCATTCACATTTGGCACATGTATTAGTCCATTCTTACATTGCTATAAAGAACTACCTGAGACCGGGTAATTAATGAAGAAAAGAGTTTTAATTGACTCACAGTTCCACAGGCTGTACAGGAAGCATGGCTGGGAGACCTCAGGAAACTTGCAATCATGGTGGGAGGCAGAGTGGAAGCAAACACATCTTTCCATGGCAGAGCAGGAGAGAGAGAGCAAAGAGGAAAGGCTACATACCTTTAAACAACCAGATCTTATGAGAACTCACTATCATGAGAACAGCAAGGGGGAAATTATCCCCCATGATTCTATCACCTCTCACCAGGTATCTCCCCCAACATTGGGAATTACAATTTGACATGAGGTTTGGGTAAGGACCCAGAGCCTAACCATATCACATTCTAATAAATAAATAAATCAGTAATTATTATTCTAGGTGACCCATGCTACCTGTTTCTTTGGCCATGACAAAATATCCAGGACTAGGCAATTGATGAATAATGGAAATATATTTCTCACAGTTCTTAAGGCTGGGAGTTCCAAAATTGAGGTGTCAGCAAGTTCAGTGTCTAGGGAGGGCCTATTCCTTGTAGATAATGCACCCTCTGTATCCTTATATGACAGAAGGGCAAAAAAGGCAAAAAGGGTGAAATGGCTCCCTTGTATCTCTTGATGTTATTAGTTTAGCAAGGACAGATCCCTCCTGACTTATTCACTTCCTAAAAGGAGCCATCTCTTTAGTAATGTTGCATTGGGTATTATTTGTCAACATATGAATTTGGGGGCGGCATATTCAGACCATAGCACATTTTTCAATGGAAGCATAAATATAATGTTGAGGAAACCAAGAGAAAGCAACATTTTTCTTGCTCAAGAAGATGAGAAAGAGGGTAAAAAAGGAGATAAAATGTGACCTATGTCCTGACTGCAGTAACAGAAAAGTTCATCTTGATCAAAAGGAGCAGCATGCTGTAAAACTTGAAACCTTGTGGTGTGCTGGAGACTGATGACGAGTGGTTATGCCTAGAGTTGACAGTATCGAATTTGAAGAGTGCAAGGAGTGATATGGATCATCAGACTGGAAACAGAATGTGAGGTCCAGGTCAATCCATTGGGACCTTATCCTATAGGACAGACAGGGAAGCCATTTAAAGTTTTAAAGTGAGAAGGTGGCATGTTTAGACATGTGCTCCTGAAAGTACCTAGGGGAAAAAAAAATATTTGACTGCATGTTGAGCCAGAAATACAAAGGGAAATACAGTATGTTAGCTTCCTCCTCTAAGCCCTGCTCAGTTAAATCCACTTGACAAGGAATGTATGTTTCTAAAGAAAGATTGACGAAGGCATTTAAAGTCTGTAGAAAGATTTTAATAAAGTGCTTGGCATGTAGCTGGTACTCAATAAATATTTGTTCAATATAGGGTGGCTGTTAAGATCTGATATTAGGTGAAGAGTCAGTATGTCCATTCATTTTTCAGTTGCCTATCCATCCATCCATTCATCCATTTATCTATCCACCCATCCATCCATTCATTCATGCATGCACCCATCCACCCATCTATCTCCTCATCCCTCTTACAATTCACTGAACAGTTATTGCATATTCTGTTTGTGCCAGTTACAGAGACAGTGTTTGTCACTGTCACAGTTATACATGAGGAGTAACTGCTCTCTGTGTTTGCTATTTTCAGGAAAACGGATTTGTGTGGGAGAAGCCCTGGCCCGCATGGAGCTGTTTTTATTCTTGACCTCCGTTTTACAGAACTTTAACCTGAAATCTCTGGTTGACCCAAAGGACCTTGACACCACTCCAGTTGTCAATGGGTTTGCCTCTGTGCCACCCTTCTACCAGCTGTGCTTCATTCCTGTTTGAAGAAGAGCAGATGGTCTGGTTGCTGCTGTACTGTCCCTGCAGCTCTCTTTCCTCTGGGGCGTTATCCACATTTCACTATATGTGATGCCTTTTCTGGCCTGTCATCTCACATTTTCCCTTCCCTCAAGATCTAGTGAACATTCAGCCTCCGTTAAGGAGAGTTTCCTATGCTTCACAGTGCAAATATATCTGCTATTCTCCATACTCTGTAACGGTTGCATTGACTGTCACCTAATGCTGATACTTATCTAATGTTGTTATTAATATGTTATTATTAAATAGAGAAAGATGATTTGTGTATCATAATTCAAAGGCATTTCTTCTTTGCATGTTCTAAATAAAAAGCATTATTATTTGCTGAGTCAGTTTATTAGACCTTCCTTCTTTTATGCATAATGCAGGTCAGAAGTTAAAGAAAAATAGAGTTCCAGGAGGCCCTGCTGGTTCTCAAAACGATAAGGACAGAAAGGACAAAGGGGAAGAGGGTAGGGAAGCTATTTTTGCTGAGTGTGAGAGTTATTTGAGGATTGGATTTGAAAGTGAGAAACTGTTCAGGAGCAGCTTCAACCTGTAGGGAAATATTAAGAGGATCAGCCAAAGGGAGGAATGGACATTAAATGTTAGAATTCTTATATCCACATTGATGTTCCTTTTTTTTTTTTTTTTTTTTTTTTTTTTGAGACAAAGTCTTGCTCTGTCACCTAGGCTGGAGTACAGTGGTGGGATCTCGGCTCTCTGCAACCTCTGCCTCCCAGGTTCAAGTGATTCTCCTGCCTCAGCCTCCTGAGTAGCTGGGATTACAGGTGCATGCCACCATGCCTGGCTAATTTTTTGTATTTTTAGTACAGACGGGTTTTCACCGTGTTAGCTAGGATGGTCTCGATCTCCTGACCTCGTGATCTGCCCGCCTCAGCCTCCCAAAGTGCTGGGATTACAGATGTGAGCCACTGCACCTGGCCTGGTGTTACTTTAAAGTGTCATTACTTTATCTCTGAAGAATCAGATTACTTTTATTACTTCATGTTTCCAACTTATATTGATGTAATGAAGTATAAATATATGCTTTCATATTGCTTCTCATGTGTCCTGTCATGCTTCTGTCATCAAACATGAACAAAATTTCTTTTCTTTTTCTTTTTTTTTTCTTTTGAGATGGAGTCTTGCTTTTGTTGCCCAGGCTGGAGTGTAATGGCATGATCTTGGCTCACTGCAATCTCCACCTCCAGGGTTCAAGTGATTCTCCTGCTTCAGCCTTCCAAGTAGCTGGGATTACAGATGCCCACCACCACACCAGGCTAATTTTTGATATTTTTAGTAGAGACAGGGTTTCACCATGTTGGCCAGACTAGTGTTGAACTCCTAACCTCAAGTGATCCACCCACCCCGGCCTCCCAAAGTGCTGGGATTACGGGTGTGAGCCACCACGCTTGGCTGGACAAAATTTCTAAGAAGAATTACCAGGATTTAATCTTTCTCAGCTTCTCCTATAGTATTTAACTTTTAACCTAAGTGGGATGATAATTTTATGCTATGGTCCTAATATAATTAGCCTCAGGTCATCTCCAAAGCATAGACAGTTAAGTATCTTATGTTAAATTATATTCACCACTCTCCTGTCTTCTATTTGGAATGTAAGAAGAAGTAACATAATTCGTAATGCTTCTCACAGGTCATCTCCCAGAAGAAGCTACTTACACTTTGGAATACATTTTAAAGATAATATGTGGGTACAGGTGTACATGTACATCTATATATGGATGTGTACATTATGTGTGTATATATATAATATATATACATTTATATATGTACATGTAATATATACATGTATATATTATATGTATATATATTATGTATGTATATATATTATACATATATAATATATACAAGTATATATAATATATACATGTATATAGGTATATATAATATATACATGTATATAGGTATATATAATATATACATTTATATATGTATATATAATATATACATTTATATAGATATATATCTTATGCAAACATACATATAGGGCTAAATGTTTACAATATTGGGCTTATATCACACATCTTGTATTAAAACTTGCTATTTTCCTATCAAGTAATATGCCAGCAAATCCTCTAAGGTGATAGAAACATAGGCGAAAGATTCAGAGAGATAATAGAGGAGAAAGTGGAAATGGGTATTACATTAATGGGAAGATCAAATGGAAATTACACATTATACCTTTTAAACCTTCATTGGGAAATGAAAATGTATTTTATTTATTTATTTATTTATTATTATTATTATCTTTAAGTTCTAGGGTACATGTGCATAATGTGCAGGTTTGTTACATATGTATACTTGTGCCATGTTGGTGTGCTGCACCCATCAACTCGTCAGCACCCATCAACTCGTCATTTACGTCAGGTATAACTCCCAATGCAATCCCTCCCCCCTCCCCCCTCCCCATGATAGGCCCCGCTGTGTGATGTCCCCCTTCCCGAGTCCAAGTGATCTCATTGTTCAGTTCCCACCTATGAGTGAGAACATGCGGTGTTTGGATTTCTGTTCCTGTGATAGTTTGCTAAGAATGATGGTTTCCAGCTGCATCCATGTCCCTACAAAGGACACAAACTCATCCTTTTTTATGGCTGCATAGTATTCCATGGTGTATATGTGCCACATTTTCTTAATCCAGTCTGTCACTGATGGACATTTGGGTCGATTCCAAGTCTTTGATATTGTGAATAGTGCCACAATAAACATGTGTGTGCATGTGTCTTTATAGCAGCATGATTTATAATCCTCTGGGTATATACCCAGTAATGGGATGGCTGGGTCATATGGTACATCTAGTTCTAGATCTTTGAGGAATCGCCATACTGTTTTCCATAATGGTTGAACTAGTTTACAATCCCACCAACAGTGTAAAAGTGTTCCTATTTCTCCACATCCTCTCCAGCACCTGTTGTTTCCTGACTTTTTAATGATTGCCATTCTAACTGGTGTGAGATGGTATCTCATTGTGGTTTTGATTTGCATTTCTCTAATGGCCAGTGATGATGAGCATTTTTTCATGTGTCTGTTGGCTGTATGAATGTCTTCTTTTGAGAAATGTCTGTTCATATCCTTTGCCCACTTTTTGATGGGGTTGTTTGTTTTTTTCTTGTAAATTTGTTTGAGTTCTTTGTAGGTTCTGGATATTAGCCCTTTGTCAGATGAGTAGATTGCAAAAATTTTCTCCCATTCTGTAGGTTCCCTGTTCACTCTGATGGTAGTTTCTTTTGCTGTGCAGAAGCTCTTTAGTTTAATGAGATCCCATTTGTTAATTTTGGCTTTTGCTGCCGTTGCTTTTGGTGTTTTAGACATGAAGTCTTTGCCCATGCCTATGTCCTGAATGGTACTACCTAGGTTTTCTTCTAGGATTTTTATGGTATTAGGTCTAACGTTTAAGTCTCTAATCCATCTTGAATTAATTTTTTGTATAAGGAGTAAGGAAAGGATCCAGTTTCAGCTTTCTACTTATGGCTAGCCAATTTTCCCAGCACCATTTATTAAATAGGGAATCCTTTCCCCATATCTTGTTTCTCTCAGGTTTGTCAAAGATCAGATGGCTGTAGATGTGTGGTATTATTTCTGAGGACTCTGTTCTGTTCCATTGGTCTATATCTCTGTTTTGGTACCAGTATCATGCTGTTTTGGTTACTGTAGCCTTGTAGTATAGTTTGAAGTCAGGTAGCGTGATGCCTCCAGCTTTGTTCTTTTGACTTAGGATTGTCTTGGAGATGCGGGCTCTTTTTTGGTTCCATATGAACTTTAAAGCAGTTTTTTCCAATTCTGTGAAGAAACTCACTGGTAGCTTGATGGGGAAGGCATTGAATCTATAAATTACCTTGGGCAGTATGGCCATTTTCACGATATTGATTCTTCCTTTCCATGAGCATGGTATGTTCTTCCATTTGTTTGTGTCCTCTTTTATTTCACTGAGCAGTGGTTTGTAGTTCTCCTTGAAGAGGTCCTTTACATCCCTTGTGAGTTGGATTCCTAGATATTTTATTCTCTTTTAAGCGATTGTGAATGGGAGTTCACTCATGATTTGGCTCTCTGTTTGTCTGTTACTGGTGTATAAGAATGCTTGTGATTTTTGCACATTAATTTTGTATCCAGAGACTTTGCTGAAGTTGCTTATCAGCTTAAGGAGATTTTGGGCTGAGACAGTGTGGTTTTCTAAATATACAATCATGTCATCTGCAAACAGGGACAATTTGACTTCTTCTTTTCCTAACTGAATATCCTTGATTTCTTTCTCTTGCCTGATTGCCCTAGCCAGAACTTCCAACACTATGTTGAATAGGAGTGGTGAGAGAGGGCATCCCTGTCTTGTGCCAGTTTTCAAAGGGAATTTTTCCAGTTTTTGCCCATTCAGTATGATATTGGCTGTGGGTTTGTCATAAATAGCTCTTATTATTTTGAGATACGTTCCATCAATACCGAATTTATTGAGCGTTTTTAGCATGAAGGGCTGTTGAATTTTGTCAAAAGCCTTTTCTGCATCTATTGAGATAATCATGTGGTTCTTGTGTTTGGTTCTGTTTATATGCTGGATTATGTTTATTGATTTGCGAATGTTGAACCAGCCTTGCATCCCAGGGATGAAGCCCACTTGATCATGGTGGATAAGCTTTTTGATGTGCTGCTGAATCCGGTTTGCCAGTATTTTATTGAGGATTTTTGCATCGATGTTCATCAGGGATATTGGTCTAAAATTCTCTTTTTTTGTTGTGTCTCTGCCAGGCTTTGGTATCAGGATGATGTTGGCTTCATAAAATGAGTTAGGAAGGTTTCCCTCTTTTTCTATTGATTGGAATAGTTTCAGAAGGAATGGTACCAACTCCTCCTTGTACCTCTGGTACAATTCAGCTGTGAATCCATCTGGTCCTAGACTTTTTTTGGTTGGTAGGCTATTAATTACTGCCTCAATTTCAGAGCCTGCTATTGGTCTATTCAGGGATTCAACTTCTTCC